GAGCCCGATGTGGGACTCGATCCCGGGACTCCAGGATCATGACCTGAGCCAAAGGCAGTCGCTTAACCAACTGAGCCACCCAGGCGCCCTTCATTCTAATTTATATTCTAGCAATTCGTTCCCTCTCCTTTAAAATGCTGCACCACTATTTTATCCTTTTGGTGAATGTATAAAAATGCCACTTCACTCTCTGCCTATTCTCCCATCCACCAGCAATGAAGAGTCTGAGCTGCTGTATCATATGCTGGGATTTGAATCTACTGGTGTCTTTTTTGGGTGTTAGTCAGTTAGCCTTTTATGAAAGAAAGCTGCTTTAAGAAATAACTCTGGAAAGCAAATGTCAAGCCTGATAACCAAGCCCACATATGTAAAGTACTTTAATTCTGTAGCAAGTTCGAATAGCCTCCTTAAATTGGCTAACCCTCATTCTCCAAGCCTCCGCACACAGCTACACCAAGAGAAATATTGAGCGGTGTCACCATCTGGTTGGTTTAATTTAACATATATAGATTTCCCTTTCGTTTTGAAGAACATCACCCTCAAGGAAACTCCCTAATCTAAAAGATTCAACTTTCTCAGTGTTTGCTCAGCCTCACGATATTAAAAAGCAAAGAGAAATAACAGTGCCATTTTCTCTTTCATTTCCTGATTCTGCTCCAAGTTTTCCATTTACCATTTAATTCAACTATTCAATTAACTACTTAATTCAACTCAGCTATTTGTCGAGTGCCTGCTGTGTATGAGGCACCCCCTGGGAATGCAGCTTTAAACAGGAGAGACCTGGGTTCTGCCTCTGTCACCCAAGGAGTGGGTGATGACAGCCTGCTGATACCTGGGTCCCCCACCACCTTTGCACGCTGTCCTTTTAGGCACCCTCGTCAATGCACCTGTGCACCAGAAACAGCTCGAGAGTGAAACATCCATCACTGCATTCCCAGGGCTCACCACAGAGCCTTACGCATGCTGCACCCTCCTTAAATATTTGTTGGATGCACGGGTGGCTGGGTAAAGGAGTGAATGTAAATTCCCATGCAAAGTAAATCTTGTTTAGCCCGATGTGCAAATGATATGTAACCACCATGCAAAGGAGTATTACTTTCATTTTCTTCTTTCACTGCATGGTGCTCGCTTAATTCCTGTTCCATCATCAGTGGGGTCTTAATTAAGGTCCAAGAAACATAAAAGCGGGTGGGAGAAGGTAGGTCTGTACTTTTCTGCCTCTGCCTATGTCTTGCAGAAAGAAAATGCTTACCTGATACTTAAATCAAATCCTTGTTATTCCATTTGCGCCCCCCGCCCCAACACACTTCCCCTTAGAACTTTCCTCTCCTTGCATGTGTACAAAATAGAATGCATTATTCACTGGGTTAAAAAGATACAGGCTGCTAAGTGAAATAAGCCATTAGTCACGGACAGGCGAATACTATATAATTGCACTTATATGAGGGACCTAGAGTAATCAAATTCAGAGAGACAGGAAGGAGAATGGTGGACACGGCGGGCTGGGGGACAGGGAATGCAGAGGTGTTGTCTGATGCGTACAGAATTTCTGTTTTGCAAAGTGGGAAGAGTTCTGGAGACTGGATGCACAACAATGTGCGTGTACTTAACCCTACTATACACTTTAAAAAGGTTAAAATGGCAAATTTTATGTTATGTATATACTTTGCCATGACTTTTTAAAATGTAGATGTTTTTTAAACAGTAAGGCACCTTCTTTCGTGCCATGTACCAGCACTTACACCAGCAGCTAAGTGTGCCATAGAGCTTCCTCATTATTCCCCAATAGTGTAAGAAAATCATATGCACAACGTTTAATAGCTGGACTCTAATAGCTTTTAAAAATTCCCAAAGAGGGGCACCTGAGTGGCTCAGTCAGTTAAGCGGCTGCCTTCAGCTCAGGTCATGATCCCAGGGTCCTGGGATCGAGCCCCGCATCGGGCTCCCTGCTCGGCAGAGAGCCTGCTTCTCCCTCTCCCTCTGTCTGCCGCTCTGCCTACTTGTGCTCTCTCTCTATCTCTGTTAAATAAATAAATAAAAATCTTAAAAAAAAAAAAATTCCCAAAGAGATAGGTCATTGAATCAGTACATGCCTTAGTTTATTCATTTGAATAACGGGGGTTGGGGTGTCTGTGCCTCACCCTCTCTTCCGGCTTCAGGGACTCAGAAAAACACTAAAAACACTAAAACCCTCTATTGTCCTTCTTTGCCTGTTGCTTTCTTTTCCCGACAGGTCACGGTTTGCTGTGGACATGCGGACGGCTTCCCCCAGAGGCCTCGTGTTCTACTGGGGCTCTCAGAACTCCTACATGGCGCTGTACCTCTCCAAGGGACGGCTCGTCTTTGCCTTGGGGGCAGGTGGGAAGAAGCTGAGGCTCAAAAGCAAAGAGAAGTGCAACGATGGGCAGTGGCACACGGTGAGAGCCGGGGCTGCGTGAGAAGCCGCCACCGCCGCGGAGTCCCCCCGACTAACCTGGAGAGGGGTCGCAGCCTCCTGCCTGCCGCGGAGCCCAACACTGGCCGAGCTTGTGTGTCCAGAGGCACCGAGCACCCCAGCACCTTGGCAGCGGAGATCGCTCCGCACACCGGGCAAGGAGGTCGTGCGTGGATGTCTTGGTGCCAAGATGGGCTCTATTCACTGCTTCTTCAGTCCCCGCCATGCCTCCCTGGGTTCTGTCCCCTTCCCCTCCCACCCCTGCTGCCTGGACCGTTTCTCTCCGTCAAGACACTGTCCAGGTCTCTGGGACCCCTCTCTGAGCCCAGAATGCCTTCTGCATAACACAAGCCTAATTAAAGACCCACATCCCTAGCTTTCCAGATCTTGCCTGAAGGCATCCCAGATTGCAAGAGATACAGGATAAGAGCTGGGATTCAAGGGACAGGCAGGGCCCAGATCATAGGAGCGTTGAAGCCAAGGTGAGGACTCGGATTTTATTCTGAGTGTCTCTAAAGCTTCGGAAGAATCTTCAACTAAATAAGGAGCATTGCATGAACAGATGGATATTTTCAAAGCTGTCTTTAGCTGAAGAGATGAAATGGGGGTACGAGTGGCCAGATGGACGCCACTGCCTTCGCTTCAAGAGGCCGCGGGGAACATGCACAGAAGTAAACTGTCTAGCATGTTCTCTGAAAACCGAGAGGGCTCGCTGAGGGGTCGCATGTAGAGCGTGAGAGAAAGAGGGGTCCGTATCAAGTCCTGTGGTTTGGGGCCAGCCATTGGGACGGCAGAGGGACTGCTACTGAGACACAGAAAATGGGGAGAAGGGGCGTGTGGCCAGGGAAGGAGCAATTTAGAGCTGGGGAAGAGCCAGGGTTCTGCTGTGAACCTCCTAGGGTTGAGTGGCCTGTCAGACATTCAAGCCCACTATTCTAGATAGTAAAGGCCAGAGGTCACAGCTGGGAGTATAAGTTGGGGAGGCATTAGTGAACGGTCTCATAGCTGTGAGATGGAGGAGTCCACCCTAGAGCCCAGGGATCTTGACTTTTAGCAAAGAGTTGAAAATGTGTCCTCCCTTGTTAGTAGAAGAAGTAGCCATGGCCCCTTGCTCCAGGAGCCCTGCCGAAGGACTTTTATTTTTTATTTTTTAATATTTTATCCATTTATATGAGAGAGAGAGAACATGAGGGAGGAAGGAGGAGAGGGGGAGGGAGAGGGACAAGCAGACTCCACACTGAGCATGGAGCCCAAAGTGGGGCTCGATCCCAGGACCCTGAGATCATGACCTCAGCTGAAAACCAGAGTCCGACACTCAACCAACTGAGCCACCCAGGCGCACCAAGGAATCCTTCTTATAAAGCTCACTTTTCTAGCTTACTGTCTTCAATATCTAACATAATCTCACAAAATGGTGATGATGATGACAATACTAGGGGAAAAATTTCTGATCTTTTAAAGCTCCTTGAAGAAACAGAAAAACATTGTTTTAAAAAATGTCCAGTGACCAGTAATAAAATACATCACCAATTGTCAGAGGTAAAACATGATTAATATATTTTCTTTACTCTTAAGGTGGTGTTTGGGCAAGATGGAGAGAAGGGGCACTTGGTTCTGGATGGCCTGAGGGCCCAGGAGGGAAGTTTGCCTGGAAATACCACCATCAGCCTCAGAGCACCAGTTTACCTGGGATCATCTCCCTCAGGGAAGCCAAAGGTAAGTAGTTATGCTTCATCAACACATGGAAAGATGCTCAGCATCACTAATCATGAGACAAATGCAAATCTAAAGCATAACGAGATCTCACCTCACCCCTGTCAGAATGGCTGTTATCAAAAAGACAAGAAATAACGAGTGTTGGTGAGGATGTGGGGGAAAGGGACCCTCGTGCACTGTTGGTGGGAATGCAGACTGCTGCAGCCACTCTGGAAAACAGGATGGAGGTTCCTCAGAAAATTAAGAATAGGAATTCCATACAATCCAGTAATTCTACTGATGAGTATTTACCCAAAGAAAATGAAGAAAGACACTAATTCAAAAAGAAATATACACCCCTACATTTATTGTAGCATTATTCACAATAGCCAAGATATGAAAGCAACCCAAATGTCCACTGATAGATGAATGGATAAAGAAGATGTGATACACACACACACACACACACACACACACACACACAGAGGAATATTACTCAGCCATAAAAAAGAATGAAATCTGCCATTCGTAACAACAGAGCTGGAACTAGAGGCTATCTTGCCAAACGAAATAAATCAGACAAATACCATATGATTTCACTGATACGTAGAATCTAAAAAACAAAATGTGAACAAACAAGCAAAAAAGAAACAGACTCATAAATACAGAGAACAAACTGGTGGTTGGCAGAAGGGGAGGTGGGGATGGGCCAAATAGGAGAAAGGGATTAAGAGATCAAACTTCCAGTTGTAAAATAAATAAGTCATGGGGATGAAATGTACAGCAGGTTCATGGTCAAAAATATTGTAATAACTTCGGTGATGGATGGTAAGTACACTTAGCATGGTGAGCATTTGGTGCAAAAGAAAATAGTTACGTTTTAAAACCATATATAAAAATAATTCACCTTATGATGTAATTATGAAGGTGGTCAAAAGGTACAAACTTCAGTTATAAAATAATTAAGTCCTGGGGATATAATGTACAACATGGTGACCATAGTTAATAATACTGTATTACATATTTGAAAGTTGCTAAGATAGTAAATCATAAAAGTTCTCATCACAAGAAGAAAAAGATTTGTAACTATGTGTAGCAATGGATGTTAACTAGACTTATTGTGGTAATCATACCACTATATACATTATACATAAATATATATATATGTAGAGAGAGAGAGAGAGAATCACTATGTTGTATATCTGAAAATAACGTTATGTGTCAATTATATCTCAATTAAAAACATTTTAATATATAATCATTATAATTATATAAGATACAAGATATTCAAGAATCTGAAATATTTTAAATAATTTTTTAAAATACCTAATTAATGTCCCAAAGCCCACAGAGAATAATCCCCATTCCTAACCCTTCACTTTTTTTTTTTTTAAGATTTTATTTATTTATTTGACACAGAGAGATAGCAAGAGAGAGAGCACAAGCGGTGGGGTGGCAGGCAGAAGGAGATGGAGAGGGAGAAACAGGCTCCCCGCTGAGCAGGGAGCCTGATGTGGGGCTTGATCCCAGGACCCTGGGAAGGCAGACGCTTAACCCACTGAGCCACCCAGGAACCCCCCCAACCCTTCACTTTTAAGGTTCAGCTTGACACACAGGCCTGGAAGAATGAATCTAGGGCTTCTCCATGGCTTTATAGATAAGAATCTGTTAGTTTCTCTTCCAGGGAATGCAGAAACATAGGTTTTAGGTTGTAGATGGCGATTTTTGTTTAAGATAGTGTTTTCCAAACTTTAGCAATTTGTGTCACCTTCATCATCTTTGCCAAACACAGGTAAAAAAATTACTTAATAGCTTGCTCTTGGTCAACTCACTAAGTTTTGTTGTTTTTGTTTTGTTGGGTTGTTTTGTTTTGTTTTGTTTGTTTTTGCATGTGCTTGTTGGGGGGAGAGGGGCAGAGAGAGGATCTTCAGCAGGCTCCACACCCAGCACAGAGCCAGAGGCAGGGCTCGATCTCACAACCCTGAGATCATGACCTAGCCGAAGTCAACAGTGGGACACTTAATCAACTGAGCCACCCAGGCGCCCCAAATTTAAGTTTATTTTTAAAGGATGTTTTTGTCTCTGCATAAATGGAAACCCAGTATTTTTTATCATAAAGAGTAGGTAACCATAAATATAAATATATGTAAACAAAACAGTGTTATTAAAGTCTGGTCAGATAGTGTGCCTATACTCCATTTGGAGAAAAAGAAGAGTTTGACAAGTGATCGTTATATTAGGTAATTATAAGTGGCATTTAAGACATATTAACGCAAAACTAGAATGTGTTCCTTGTCTTAATCAGAAAGTTGGAAAGGGAAGTGAAAAAGGACTAACTTAATAAGTGAATATGTGTTTTAATGTTATTTGGTGTCTGAAATAAAATTATCTCAAGAACCAAACTTAGGAAAGTGCCAAGGTTTCGATGTGGCCATGGCTCCGAGGCTGGGCTCCGTGAGTGCCCTGTCCCTCCTCTCTCCTCCGATGCCAACAGAGCCCCCACCTCACCTGCCTTACATGGGGCACCACACGCAGCTGTCTGTCTTCTCCCTGATTTGCCTTTCGCTCCCACACAGTGAAGGAAGATGGTCCTGTCGACAGTTCAGGCCTAGGACCGCCCTCGCCTGAATGTGCTGCCCCTCTTGCCCCTTTCCTCGGGGCTGCTGGCCCGTCCTGCTGTGATGTTTGCTTGCAGTGAGGGAGGAAGGGCCAAGACTCAAATCTAGGCCTGGAAATGGACATAATTAGAAGAGGAAATTTCAGCCAACTTGGATTCTAGGCGGTCAGGCTGACCTAGCCTCGGCCGCTATGTCTCAACCTGGGCATAGGCTCAGCCTGGCCCACCTGAGTTTTGCACTGGGGTTTGGGCCAAAGCCCCAGCAAGTCAGAAAGTATTGTTTTGCTTTATTTTATATTATACATATAATATACATATATATATAATATATAATACAGTTATATATAATCAGTATATATTAATACTGTACATAATAATACATATGTATTATATGTAATGAATATTATATAATATAGTGTAATATCTATGTGATATATGGTATAATACATATATAATAGATAACACTAATTGCCAAAGAGAATCCTCAATGTTAATGTTTGCTTTTCTGTAACCTCTATACCTATTTCCCTCTCAGAGAAATCACAGGGTGGGGTAGCTATTCAAGAGCACAATATGGGTATTCTTTTGACCTGAATAAGTCACACTCAGCATCGTAATATACGGGACAACCCATAGTACTCCATGTGCATCACTCTTATAAACCAAGCTTCTTTTTGCAGCATTCCTCCCCCTTGAGGGTGCAAACCATGGACTACTCTCCTCCATATCCTTTCAGAGGGCAGGCAACATCCAATCAGCGTCTGCCTCTGAAACCAAAACCTGCAGTCTGCCATTAGGGATCCGGTGTTAGGTGATGACCTTCCCTGGACAGTCTGAGCTTGGTTTCGGATACAGGCTCTTCATTGTATTAGATGGTAAATCTTAAGAAACTAAAAATTTCATCACCGAGTCCAGTTGGTAGTTTATTGTTGATAATATGCGTCTCTAATATCACCATGTCTTATAATTATCATATACTGTATCTGTTGTGTAGGATTCCAGGGTCCTAAAAGCATTTATTCTGGAAGGGAGTTTAAGGATTTTATTCAGTGATTCTTTCATTTTTTTTTTTTTTGAAAGTTTCTTAAAAGTTACAGTCTTTCTTCCCAGAAAAATGCACATACAGAGAACATAGGTATATAATTTGAGGGATCACAGAATCCCCAGAGGTGCATCCTTGGGCCCTAAGTGAGGAGACCTTGTTCCAGACTACCTGTAGGTGCTCCACGCATGCCCCCGATGCTGTGCATTGTGTCTTATTTTAACTCCACAGCATTCGTGATTTGTTGGTGGTGCACTGAGCCCAACAATATAGGAAGCTTTTTTACACTTTATTATTTTTGGAATGTTTTGGCCTCTTTTTCAGTCAGCTGCCCTGCATTAAGCAATCACATAGGCCCATGAAAACTTCAGAAGTGGTTTGTACCTGCAAAGAGACGGTGAGCTAAGTACACCGTAAGGCGGAAATTTCCCCTGTTACAGCCCCGTCTGTGCGGACCAGGGTCAGGTCCCTGACCAGCACTGGCCAGCAGCCTCCACCGCCCCTGCCCTCTGCACACACACCGCTTGGTTTGGTGGCCCCCTCAAACTTCAGCCACCCACCGGACATCTGGTATGCAGGTTTTTCTTGGCAGTGTGGGCAGGGAGCCAAATACAACCGTCAGGCCCACCTGTCTTGGGCAGGATGGTTGAATCCCCCTACCTGCCCCCTTTTGCAGACAACTGCCCTGCCCTTAACCTTGGCTGCCCCAGTGTGTCTGGGAGGTGTGGCTTAATGCAGTTTGCTTTCTCTTCCGCTTGGTTGCAGAGCCTCCCCCAAAACAGCTTTGTGGGATGCCTGAGGAACTTTCAGTTGGATCTGAAACCCCTGGACACCCCTTCTGTGAGCGTTGGTGTGTCCCCCTGCGTGGGTGGCTCTTTGGAGAAAGGCATTTATTTCTCCCGGGAAGGAGGTCATGTCATCCTAGGTAAGGGGCAGTTTGGAAGAGTTTATGTCTTGGAGTCTGAAGAACTCGGTCCTTTTTCTTGAATTATGATGTTCTAATTTTTTTTTTCTTTTGAAAGCTAACTCTGTGCTGTTGGGGCCCGAATTTAAGCTGGTCTTCAGCATTCGCCCAAGAAGCCTCACTGGCATCCTAATACACGTCGGGAGTCAGCCGGGGAGGCACTTATGTGTTTATATGGAGGCCGGAAAGGTGCGTACCGTGTGATGACAGGGTCTGTGGGTTTCTGTTAGAACCACCTTCATTTCCGGAGACCACAGCAGGGGGCGTTGTGAGAGAGTGGGATCCCATCTTGTTTTAAGAGACCTGATTTCAGGGCTAACTTACTGTTTTCCTTTAGCAAGTCAGTTGGTCATCATGTTTCCTGTTCATCATCTTTAAAACTGGGAAAACTCAAACAAGCCGGGCTGAATTCTGCCTGCACCACTTAGTTATATGGCCCTAGGGAAGCTACTTAACCTACTTCAGACTCACTTTCTTTATCTTTAAAATGTGGATGATAATGCTTATATCTTAGGGCTTTTGTCAAGAGAATAGGACTGTCATATACTCAATAAATGTTCATTTTTCTCTCTTTCCCCTCACCCTTGTCACATCTCTACTTTTATTCATGAGGGCAGTGCCAGGAGTTGTGGGATAGATGTTCTCAACAGCTGTCTACACCAGGTCTGTGCCCAACAGCTGTCTACACCAGGTCTATGCCCAACAGCTGTCTACACCAGGTCTATGCCCATGGCTTGGTGTCTACTGAGTCAGTTTCAGTTTTCCCTTATGGTCCCTATACCACCCACCAGCATCTCTGGCCTCTGCAGCCAGGCTGGGCCCTTGGTCTGCTCCCCAGGCTTCCTTTGGCTTGGCATGGGATTCTCTTTCATTGTAGCCTTCTGTGGCCTCCTGCCCATCCCTCATGGGCCTGGTCAATACCCTACTCTCACCACTGGAGTCCTATCTCTTTCCTTTTCAAAACCTCTTTTAAAAACCAAATCCTTCCAGGAAGGCCTCAAGGCAAAGAGCAAATCATGATAATGTTAAAGAGAAAAAATTCAACTGAGTGAATTCGAAGATCTCGTTGACGTTATTAATCGAGTCATGAATCAGGCAGCATCCCATTTAGCAAGTAGAGGAGGGCTCTGAGTTGTACAAAATGGAAGGGTTTTATAGGAATGAGGGTGGGGCAAGGAAGTCATTAGAAAAGGAAAAGAAAGGATTCTTCCAGGCAAGGTCACCTTCCATTAGGGGAAGGGCAGGGGGTCTTAGTAGGTGGATTACCTCACCTAACTTTCAGGGTGGGGTTGGGGGCGTGGTGCTGGAGAAGGCCCATGTGACAGATTACAATGTCATGGGTGCTGTTCAGAAAATTCCTGACTGATCTATTAAGACTACGTTTCTAGGGGAGGTTGAGACGTTACTTAGGTTAGGTCTTCAGCACTGGTTTGATGAATTGCCTTGAGTGGCTCCATTCTGGGCCTGTGTTTTTCTGTTTAGCCATAATAAGCAGTTTTCCTTCACCTCTACCCTTCCACAGCTTATTAACGGTGAGGAGAAAACTCCCAGAAGAAGATAAAAGAGCCCAAACTCCTAGAACTCTTTGTATTTGAGATGCAGCCTTTAAGTCTGAGCAAGGCCTCAGGCCAGAGGCAGGAGCAGCTTGCTGGCCTGGAGAGAAGGCTGGCTTTTCAGGGGACAGGAGGGGCTCCAGGAGGGCTTCTGGAGAGGAAACAATCACGCACACAAAAATCGAGACCTGATGACCTTCATAACGGCAGTGACATTGTTTAGCTGGAAAATTGCCTGAGATTTGGCCGCACCGGCTAGCTACATGCAAATTAATGCAAATTAGTTACCAGCTCGCTTATTTTTGTCCTCGCGTTCGTTCACCTTGCTTCAGCCCTTGGCCCTGGCCCAGAGAGTGGGCATGCTGAATTCTACACCCTAGCATGAGTGCCGGACCCCTGCTGCGTGTCCAGTCAAATGCCATCCATGAGCTCACTAAATTCCTTGAACAAGACCCCTGTGTAAGGCATGCATTCATGGAATTCTTATAATTGTCTGGGCCTTGCAGCACGGTGTGCGCCTCAGCCAGCATTTTTGCCTTCCAAATCTCACATCCTTCTAAGCAGAGCCACCGTCACGTATTAATAGCTGAGGAGGGTCTTCAGTGCTCGTCAGTGCCCTCTGAGCTCAGCCTGACAGGGGAGGGGTTGGGATTGGGAGGACAGGGCTCATGGCCTTTGGCAACAACTTCAGGCTGGGCCCTGGGTTTGCAGCTTGCTTGCCTAGGAGGGATGCAGCAGAGAGATTCTTGCAAACACCGGCCCCCGTATGGTCACCTGGTATGGGAGGGGGCTTATGTCTAAAGTGCTTCGGGGCTGGCGCGGTGGGAGGGGTCGGGAAGGGAAGAAGCCAGGGAAGTTGGCTCTACCAGCCCTTCTGAAGGGAAAATGCACGTGTGTTCCAGGTCGCGGCCTCTGTGGACAGTGAGGCAGGTGGGATCTTGACATCGGTGACACCAAAGCGATCTCTGTGTGACGGACGGTGGCACTCCGTGACAGGTACGATGTCCGGTGGCCTGTTGTTCACCCGCTGAAACAGTCTCCCTTTCCTTCTGGACTTGAATGTCCCAGAGGCAGCCTCAGCTCCTCAATCCATTAGTGTCTGACCAGGCTCAGCCCCGGTGGGTTAACAACGGTGAGAACATGTCCATTGTCAGCCCCAGCTGTACCACTGCCATTCGGGGTTGCTGCGGCCCGTCCTCCGTCGCCTACAGAGGATTTTCTTTTTTCTTTCCTTTCCGTTCCTTTCCTTTTTTCTTTTCTTTCTCTCTCTCTCTTTCTTTCTTCTGTAGCTCAGAAAACTGATAAGCTCTGTTTGTTTTCAAGGCAGTGTAACATTATGATTTAGATTTTGGCTCTGAAATCAAAATGAACAAAGGTCAAATCTCAGTTCCAGCCCATACCTGAGTGACCTTGGGCAAGCCACTTAATTGCTCTTTATCTTCAGTTTCCTTCTCTGCACAATGGAGGGAAAAATAGCGTCCACCTCCTGGGGTGAAAATCAAATGGGATAATGTATGTAAAGTGCGCAGCAGGGTCCAATATGTAGTAAGTGCCCAGTAAGTATTTGCTCTTACTATTGTTGAAGTTCATTGTTGGGCTATTTTTTTCAACCACTATTTAATATTACAGCAAGCGATGTAGATACACCACTGAGTGGAGAACAGGCATAGCCTCCCAAACCGAATCTGCTGTTTTATGAATAACCTGGGCACGTTAGTTTGGAGATACATTAAACCACATTGGCTAAAATACCTTTTATAAAAAAGCTAGTCTCTCCCTGTCTAATTGGAATGCTAACTCCATGGCGATTAGTTACAATTGTTAATATTGGAGGAATTTTATTTGGAGGGTCAAAAGCGACTCCGTTTTTAGAAGTCAGCGTCTCCCTGGAAAGAAGCTAAGATCGCATGAAATAAACATGCCTCTGGAGCGGAGGGTCGGAATTCCCAACTCATTCAACTTACAACCAAGCTGTCTTGTCAGGCTCCTCAATGCTTGAGAGTCATAGTGTATTCTCTGGGAAAGAAGAGTAATCATATCTTCCTCACAGATTCATTTTAAGGATTAAGTTCTGTAATATATGTGGAACACCTAAATACCACTTGGTGTGGAGAAATGAGTTGCATTTGAGTCTAGGTTGGCCGAATTCCTACCAACAGCGCTCTCATGGGAGTGAGTGGAGCAGAAGCCCGTGGTGACACCCTAGCTTAGACATGAAACATTGGGCAGGGCTCTCCTCGGGGGACCGACCTGACGAGCTTCCTTTTCCCCCAGTCACCATAAAACAACACATCCTACACCTGGAGCTGGACGCAGAGAATAGCTACACAGCTGGACGGCTCCCCTTGCCACCTGCCAGCAATCCTGAGCCACTACACATTGGAGGTGTCCCAGGTAACTCTCGTCTTGGCTTCTTCTACACCTGTGTTGCCCCACGTCAGCTCTTAACATGTCCATCTTAACCCAGCAAACCCAGTGCCCCTGCCCATGGGTGATTAGCTGGGCAGCGGTTGGCTGGATGGTGGAGACAGAGAGGCCCTTTGCTCCAACACATGGGAAAACCCAATTGCTAGCAATGGGCACATTGTCTAGCCCGGGCCATCTTACTGCTGCTGCTTCTGTCCCAAGCCTATCATTTATAAGCCCCTCTTAAGAGGCTGCATTAACCTAGAAGCCTGATATCAGCAAAGAATCAGGAAAGGGGCTGAGAAACTGGTCTCTCCTCTCTAGGTATTTAGTTTTGCTGGTGAGTTAAGCTTTGGGGGGCCAGAATGGGAGGATCATGCAGGTTCTGGAATTTTGCCTGGAAGGAGCCTTGTCATTCTGCCTTCTTTTATGTTCCTCCAAATGATTTGTTAATTTTATGGGTCTTCCATGACCCATAAAAAGCACAAGAGTTCAGAGTTATTATTTATTGATTGGGGCTGTGGAATTGGCTCCTTTGAAGAACTTGAAGAGTAGCCTTGTTGCTGATTTATCACAGCAGGCTGGGGTGTGGGGGGCCAGCTCAAAGGAGGAGGTGACCAGGTGGCCTGAGACCCTCGGTCCCTTGAGCTCGAAGAAGACTATTTTTTAAATTGGGTACATTCACTTGACAGTATGAATTATCCACTGAATGCCTCTTCTTTTCTCTTGAAGCCGGTTTGAAGACACTGAAGCTCCCGGTGTGGAAATCATTTTTTGGCTGTCTGAAGAATGTTCAAGTGAACCACGTTCCCGTCCCTGTCACAGAAGCCGTGGGCACCCAGGGGACTGTCAGTCTGAATGGCTGTCCTGACCACTAACTCAAACCCATCACACAGCAAGGGAAGTCACCTCCAAGAGCCCAGGTCCCCAACACACCTCTCTCTCTCCCCGCAGGATCGTTCTTGACTTAAGACACCCTCTAGACCGGGTTGCTAGCAAGTCTCATTTTGAATTCTGACCACCCATACTCATCATCTTGGCACTCAGTGCTCCATGTGTATTTTATATAGAAATCCCATTTCTTGAAGATGATGAACAAATTGTTACACGCTTTTGGTAATCTCCTTTCCCACTAAAAATGAAATGTCTTTTAAAGAACATTATCTTCCACCTGTTAAAAAAAAATAAATATCTTTTAAAGCACTTTAAAAACACAAAAATTGTACATGTGTTAAGGGGTTATAACTTATGGGGTTAAATAAAGGCAGTGTACTCTTTAAATGATGATGTTTTATTAGCATTAAACCAACGGCTCGATGGGCATTGTTAATTGTACTAATTCCTCCGCATGTGTTCAGTGGGCCACCTACAACACAGTTTTCTGCAGGTGATCGTTACGCACATACTGGCAAGGTACCGTGTGTGCTCAATGTTGGACACACAATCAGGCAGAAAAAGTAATTCCTACCCTGAGGGAATATGCAGTCCTACTGGGGAGACACACAATATTCATAAAATAGTAAATAACTAACAAACCGAATTAATGAACCTCTATTTCCCTTTGGTTTCCCACGTACAGTCTGCTACCAACCAAGTCTCAATTATGATTATCAATTCCTTGAGGGCAAAGACTGTCTAGGAGGGAGCTGAGATGGCTATACATCCTATAATTAGAGCTTTGCATGACAAGCTAACATATAAGAAGGAGGACTTCCTTCTGGTTTTACCGACAAAATAATGAGCCATGCACTAGACCACTATTATTACCCAGCACCACTCTTCCTAATGAAGAAGATTATGTAAGCATTTTTGTGTCTTCTCCATGGTATTTGCCCCTCAGAAGAAAAATAATAATTCTGAAATTTGGACATAGTAATCCTATATGGTATCCTTGTTGCTCCCTGCCCTCCCCCCTCTGAAATGGAGCCACACTCCCTTCAACCCCGTGCTCTTCACACTGCAGGCCTGTGGGCGTGGTTTCTGGCTACCATACCTACGCAACTGTGGAATATTCTCCTGGGGAGGTAGCAAGTTCCCCATCACAGAGGGCATTCAACAGAGGCTGGCTGGTGGGCATTAGGGTTGCTGTGCTGACTCAGACATTGAATTGCACGACCTTAAGTTAGGTGTTTTCTGAAAACATTTGACCTCCCAATGAAAACTTCATCAGGCGATCACCACCCAGACACTGAGTCTGCATGAAGAGCCTCCATTTTACCTGCCTTGGCACCAGCTACACTAAATGGGTGGTTCTCTCTTCCGGCTTCCTGGTGTTAATCTAACTGAAAGTGATTTATTAGTGCTGATTATTCATTAGCACTTCCTAGGTTCATTAGAAAGGGACAGCGAATCCACTGACACCACCGGTTTTCCTTCCCTTTGGTAGTAGCTTGAAGACCAGCTGTCCCTCTGCCTTATCCGAGTGTCATCCCTGCCACCAGAAGGCAGCCGAGGATGTCACAGATGGAATTACAGTTAAGGAAACAGCCCTCGGCGTGCCCCTTCCCAGACTGTACATGCGTGTTCTCTGAAAGGAATGTTTACAGCTCCTCAACTGAACCATCGTGGAAATTCTTTGTAAACCGTAAAGTGCCATACAAATATTATCACTGGTGTCTTCTTCCTGGCTCAAAGTCCCTCCCGGATTGGGCTGACCTTGAGGTAGGAGGCTCCGGAGGGACAGTAGGCTCGCTGACCGTGACAGGTCCACAGTTGGTTTCATTTTGGTCCAGGAGGGTGGGGGAGGGTGAGAAACCCGGACTGTGAGAAGACCGACAGCACAGCACAACAATCTGGACAACAGTCACTTCCGGGGGCATCACGTGACTATGAAGCAGTCACGTGTCTTCATGGGCTGCTTCCTTTAGCACCTCCCAGGGCACCTCCTGACCTCACTTCTCAGTACGAGGGTTGTTGAGCTTTTGTCACATTCACAGTCACCCCCTGGCAGAGGACATGGGCCCTGAGCAGAACATGCTGACATTTCCTTCCTCCCAGGTGGGAAGTGGTCTCACTTCGCCACAGAGAACTTTGACTCAGTTCCGTTCTGCCCACTCCCCTGGCGATGCTATACCACAAAATCCCCAGGCCGCATCTTCTGCCCTCCCAACCACATGGACTCCTGTCTCTCTCCCAGCTCCCTGGTCTCCAACTTCAGGTGGGTCGGTGCTAGCCCAGATAGACCAGATTCTTTCTTAGGAATGATGGCCTAAAGCCAGCAATTGAATACAAATGGCATCTATGTTCACTATAGAAAAATCAGAATAGGCAGAAAGGCATGAAAATCACCCATAGCTCATCACTCAGAAATCTGTAGGTCTTTAGTACTACGTCTGTATTCTTTTTAAATGCACATGTATTTCCTTACAAAATTGCAGTCATACTGTATATATTTTTTTTATGGTTTTAAAAAGTATATGGTGAATTTTCCTGGGTCTTTGACTCTAGGACATGCCATCACATGAATTTATCCTAATGTATTTAACCAACCTCCAACCACTTAGACAACGGGGTTGTTTCAACTTTTTGTGATTATAAGCAACACTAGAATGAAGATGTCACGGAAGATAAACTCATTTATTTTTCTTATTCTCAGAAGTAGAACTAGGAAAGGGGAGGAACACTTTTATGTTTGTGGCTATAACTGTTGCCATGTCGTTTCCTCAAAGGTTACGTATCTGCTTACATTCGCATCTTCTTGAACTGACCGTAGGGTCTGATGCCACCAACTATAAACTCACCGCCATCTGGCCCTGGTCTTCAAGACGGGGAGCAGCTGTTGGAGCACGCCAGCTCACACACGGCCACCGTGCTCCAGGCTCATCTGAGCCCAAATCCCAGCACCTGGAAATGCACGGTCAGCTCCTGGGCTCTGATGGGGAATTCTGCACAACACCTGAAGCCTTAAAACACGGGCCGTTCTATCACTTGCCCCTAAGAACTAGTGCTGAGCCGCAGAGAGCCAGCTAGGCAGGATGTGTTACTCTCAGAGAGCTCCAAACCAGGGCCAGGCCTGGCACCTGCTTCCAGAAAGGAGCAAGGCCCTCATCCGAGGATCTGAAGAACCTCCTGTGCTCTCTGGGCAGCCACCGGACCTCAGCCACAGGTCCAGCCAGCGGCTACTTCCTCCTCCATCTTGTAAGTTTGCTTTCGTTGTGATTGAAACTTTAATAAGGATTCGCTGAGGCAAAATGTCTGGGGTTTAAATGGGTAGAAGCTCGAGCCCCCATCCCTCTCCTCACCCTGCCCCTCCCCCCACAACGGAGAAATCCAAAACAGAAACTCTTTTTTCCTAACATGAGTGATAATGGTAATAATAGCACAATAATAGGGGGCACCTGGGTGGCTCAGTCGGTTAAGCGTCTGCCTTCGGCTCAGGTCATGATCCCAGAGTCCTGGGATCGAGCCCCGCATCGGGCTCCCTGCTCAGCGAGGAGCCTGCTTCTCCCTCTCCCTCTGCCACTCCCCCTGCTCATGCTCTCTCTCTGTATCTCTGTGTCTCAAATGAATAAATAAAATCTTAAAAAAAAAAATAGCACAATAATAGCACCAGTGGTAGGTGACAGATGTGTCATGTTTCCAGTTCCCTAATTTGCCAAACAATATAACTTAATTCCTCAGCGTTGAAATGCGAGCATAATGTCTGCATGCCTGAGTGTGGAAAGCAGAGACCAAATTGGAGTATCTCTGTTAATCATCCTCGAGGTGAGGAACAATTATTCTCCCAGAGGGCAGGGTCCTGAGATGATGAATACTATTTACTGAAAATGGTTTTTTCTCCTTTGTTCATAAAGACTTCTATGACCTCAGAATGTGAAGTGTACCTTTCCACTGCCAGAAGGTTTTAGTCCCCATAAATTTTGAATGTGTGGTTTATTTTACTGTACATGGAATCCTTGATAAAATGAGAATTGAGAATTTCAGAGGGTGAAGGCCTGGAACTTTCTACAGCATTTCTTGGTCTTCCCGAATGCACACAGCACAGCGTACACTTACTGATTAAACCATCCCTGGCTCAAAAGGCTTTTGCTAATTAATCAGTAATGTTAATCATTTCACACTCAGGGAGCGTGCATTCCTGGACAGATCGAATGGGGCTGGGTATCCGGTGACGTAGCTTGGCATGTTGTCCATTCAAAAGACAAATGTCAGTGGGTACTTACTATTCCTATAGGAAATAAGCTTCCTCAGAAGCCGTCTGTGCTCTGAAAAATAAGTGAGCATATCTAGCATTCAACTGCAGTGCCGTCCACAGAGAATGCGATCCTTAATGTCATGTTTTTGGGATGTCCTCAGTGAGGCGGAGGCCTCTCTTGCGGGCTGAGGCGCCGTGGGACTTCTAGTTCCTTCCTGAACCAAAATGTCCAGCTGCTGATGAGACAGCTCCTGACAAGTCCGGATCCCAGTGGGGTTTGTCTCCTGCTCTACTGTTCCCCATAATCCATCTCTTCCCACTTCCTCACAGTTAGAGGGAAGCCCCTTGGAAAAGCCACCCCCCCCACCTTCACGAAAAACCTTTGCTCTTGGAAGTCATGTGAATCTGAGCCACTTTTTGCTCTCTTGGGCCTATAATTTCAATGGAGTTTCAGGCATGCAAGCTTTCTGTCAGATGGTTTAGAATATTCTAGAAGTTTGAGGGACAAAAATTATATCCCTTACTTCACAAAGCTTCTCAGAAAGTTTAATGAGATGATGAATATAAACTGTTTTAGCACGTCGTTGTGGGTGTTACCTACTCTTAACAATGTAAAACAGGGAACAGACGTATCAGAAGTTGGATGCTTCCTTATGCCTTTAGTTTTTTTCTAGGAAAGGAATTCAAATGTCCAAGAGTATGGAAGCCAGAAACCTAATGAGGAAATTTCCTATCCTATTTGTGGCTTATGTTTATCACTTTTCCTGATTTGCCATTCCAGGGAGACAGTAGAGGAAGTCAACTTCCCCCTGTGTTTCCAGCACTGCTGTGTACGCAAGCATATATCTCAGGGGAAGAAAGTGTAGTAGATGCGGCCTGTCGCCAGCTCATGTCCCTTCACTCTCCCCCCTGCAGGGCTAGCCGCCCTGACGTCCAAATGCCAGCACCCCTATTTCTTTGAGGCCTTCCTTTGATTGCCGAAGTCAGCTGTGTCCACTTGTGCAGCCAGCTGCGCAGGATTAAGGCCCCAGGTGTGCCCTTTACCAATGACTCCTGGGACTTGGTGTCTTTTTCCCACCCGTGTTGGAAGCACGTGTTCTATACTGGTTGCCTGAGTTTCTCCAGCAGGATTCCTCTCCGATCGCCC